TAAAAGATAGTAAGTTATTTTTATTGATTATCAGTATTTAATTATACTTATTACTATAATTTAAAATTAACTAAATTTTTTATTTAAATTTTATTAGTGTGTAAGTTATTTTTATTGATTATCAGTATTTAATTTTACTTGTTACTGTAATTTAAAGTCAACTAAATTTTTATTTAAAAAAAAATTTTATTTAGCATGTAAGTTATTTTTATTGATTATCAGTATTTAATTATACTTAATATTGTAATATTAATTAAATTTTTTACTTATTTTAAAAATAAATTTATTAGGGGGTAAGTTATTTTTATTTTTAAATAATTTAAGCATAATTAAATTAATAATATAAATATTATTATTTAATAAATATATTTATTTATTAAGTAAGTATTATATTTTTATTTTTTAATAATAATTATAATATAAATACTAAAAAATTTTTATTTAGAACAAAAGGGATTTACTCAAATTATAATAAAAAAAGAATTGAAAATAATTGGTGTAAAGAATGTTATTTTAATTTATTTCAAAAAAAATTTTCTAATTGGACTAGTAAAAATAAATTTATTGATAAATTTATTCAAAATACTCAAATAAATGCTCAAAATAAAAGACAATTATTAGAATGGATTCCTTATAATAAATTTAAAAATATTAAGTATTTTGATGAAGGAGGATTTAGTATTATATATAAAGCAACTTGGATTGATGGATTTATTAATACTTATTCATATGATGATAATAATTGGATTAGAAGTGATAATATTGATGTATTTCTTAAAAGTTTTAATAAATCATCAAATCTAAATGAAGAATTTTTAAATGAGATATATTAATAATTATATTTAATTTTAAATATGAAATTTTAAATTAACTAAATTAATTTGTTTTTATTTTAGTAGAAATATCATTATAAATGTTATAGTCAATTAAAAATATATTCAAATGAAAATCTTATTTAATTATATGGATTTACTCAAGATCCAAATACTTTAAATTATATGGTAATAATGAAATATGCAAAAAATAATAATTTAAGAAAAAATTTATCAAATATAGTTAAGAATAAATGGATTATTAAATTATTACAAATAAATGATATTATTAGTGGACTTGAAGAAATACATCAAAAGAATCTTATTTATTGTAATTTTCATCATGATAATATTTTAAATATTAGAAATGAGACTTTATTTATTAGTGATTTAGGATTATGTAAATCTGTAAAGTATTTTCAAATATCTAAAAAAAATAATATTTATGATGTTTTACCATTTGTGGCTCCTGAAGTTTTAAGAGGAAAGCATTATACTAAATCTAATTATATATATAGTTTTTCTATGATTATGTGGGAATTTATATCAGGAATTCCTCCATTTAATAATGAAGTTTATAATTTCTAACTTAGTTTAGAAATTTGTAAAGGCAAACGTCCTAAAATTATTGAAAATATTCCATAATGTTATATAAATTTAATGAAAAAATGTTGGGATATAAATTCATTAAAAAGGCCAATTGCATTAGAAATTAAAATGATTATAAGTAATTGGATTAAGAATATTAAAGATAGAAATTTTGATAAAGAATTAAAAAATGATATTATAGATTTTTATAAATCAGATAAAATATTAAAACAAAATCAAAATAATAATTTAATTATTAATGAAGATCATCCACAAGTATTTTATACAAGTCGTTTACTTGATTTTACTGAAAGATTAAATGAAATTTTAGATTTTGAAACTAAAAGTTTAGAAATTAGTCAAAATATTGGTAATTGTTATAATATTTATAATATATATATAATTCAATAATTTTTTAATTAATATATATATTTTTTAATTTAATAGAAGTTTTAAATATTATAAATGATAAATAAGTAAGTATTTAATTATAAAATTAAATATATATAATTTAATTTATTTATATTAATTTATTTTTATAATAGATGAAAATAATTAAAATTTATTTATAAATAAGTTAAATATTTTTAATATTTTTTTTTCTTTTATAACTGTATATTATTATAATTTTTATAAAATATTTATTTAGTAACACTGTATGTAGAGTAAATATTATAAAAAAATACAGTTTGTAATTATTTAAATAAACTTTTATATGTAAATTTAATTATAATAATTAAATTAATTAAAATATGAATTATTAATAATTACAATTATTATCTAATATATAAATTTGATTGTTCTTATTATTTTATATTTCGTTTATAATTAAAAGATTTTTTCGAAAAAAAAAATTTTTTATTTTTTTTTACTATATTTCATATATAGATTCTCGGTTAATCCATTAAACGATTTATTTAAATTAAGAACACTATTCTAGAAATGTATTTGTGTCACGAAATTAATTAAAGAAAAAAGCCTGAATTTAATAAAAAACTTTATCAAACTTACCTACCTATCTTTTTACTAATCCTAAACTTCTCAACTATCATTCTAAGTACAAGATTGTAACGTTACATAGAAGGGGTTTATGGTGCATGATAATATATCATTTCTAGAAAACTAATGATGGAATTAATCAGGTGATATAAAGATACGGAGAACATATTAAAAATTCATTATAAAAAGGGGGAATTTTCTCTAAAGTAACAGAGTATAATACTCTTAACTACCTAGATCAAACGACATTATTATTATAATATAACTACGATTAATAAAGAACTATGTTCGTTTTAATTGAAATAATAAATACTCTACCAAAATTAGCAAATTGGATAAACACAGAAATATTATCAAAAAACCCGCTGCCATACATCCCATCCCATACTATATTTATATCTATCCCAAATCCCATTTAATTATATTTTATTTTTAAGCATATCTTGACCAATATTCCACTTACAAAAATAAAATAATATACATTGAATTATCTCATCAATGTGAAAATAATGAGCCAAACATCATTAAATTTTGATCATTAGTTTTGACAATATTTTTTGTTAAAATTTTTAGTTTATGAAATGAAATTTGGAATGAGATGAGATTGGTACTTTATCCCGTTCCCGTATAGTATGAGTAACATGTATAAACCTGATAGGATACAGATGGTCCTCTCAGTTCCATTTGGTTCCTCTTAGGTCTGCTTCAACTCTCTTTAAGTAAATTAAACTTTGAGCGTTAAATTTATACAATTAGAATATGACTATTGATCAATTGGATAATTCATTATTACCCATTATGTCCCAATGTACAATACATTAGCCATTTCTACACATATTCAATTAATAATCAAAATGTAAAATATCGACAATAATTGGTTAGAAGAAGCTATTTCGAAAAAGCATATTAAATATTACGAGAATGACTATTTTAGCAATGTGCAAAAGATTGATCATGCAGGATCTGGAAAGGTCTATCGCGCAAAATGGAAAGCTTATAAAAAGTTTTCGTAATTAAATGTTTTTTGTAGCTTTAACGATATCATGTCTAACGTCATTCATAAGGTAATTAGATTTTATCAATAAACTTCCAATTGAAGTAAGTTTATTCAATAAGAATCAGTAATACATCATTTTAATTAATTTATTTATGGTTAGCTTAAAATTCATCGTGAAGTTGACTTTCATGATAACATAATTCGTTGTTATGGTGTTACGTCTACCAAGCAAGAAACAATAAACTTTTAAAAGATAAATTTTAAAATGATCACTTTGAATGAGGTTCAACGTCCTGCCGGCACGTGAACAAAGTTTTTAGGTCAAGCATTTGACAACGTGAAATATATTAGCACCGTATGAGACATAACAAATATGGGAGTGAGTGAAGAAATTATCATTATTAAATGTGCAATTTTGGGGAGAAAGCGTGAGTAAGCATCGCAAAACTCATATACTGTCATGTTTTTAATTATTTTCAGCGTCGTTTCAATTTATTCGTTCAATAATAAATTAAGGTTTTGTTATATAATTTATAATCAAAATGTTTGGGAAGTTTGCTATTAAAATCACGTTACGGATCATATGATTTATTATCTTCTTGATTTTAATAGCAAACCTCCCATTTGGTTTATGAACGAATTGATTGAGATTAAAATAAAGCGTTTCTGTTAGGTCGCGAGTTATATTTCTAAAAACTTAATTGACTGCACCACTCTTATGTAGTATTCCATGCGATACCATTTAGCTATATTTGTTATTTGAGAAAAATAAAGAGAACAAGCCTCCTACCTAATATTTTCAACGTAGCCGCCGAACCGATTGAAGCTTTAAAAAATAAATCCAAAGATGACGATCAAAAAGTAGATAAGCGATCAAACCTTTAAAAGAGATCTTAAAAAAAATTGTCAATGTAATTGCATTAGTTATTAAAATAAATTTGTTATTAATCACAAACAACGAAAAGAGAACAATATTTAAAAAAATTTGTTTATTTAGCGTTATGATAATCGTAGAATATAGTAGTTAGTTAACCTAATTAGGTGTTTTTGAGAGAAACGATTTCATGTTACACACACGTATAATATGATATGAAAGTGTCAAATAGGTATGTTGAGGGTTTACCATATCAATCCAACAATAAGTCTATATTGTTCAACAATAACGTCTGTTCCAATAAGAAAATGGAAACTAAAAGTACCCGGAAACATTAAGAATTTTATTTTTCGTAACCTTAATTTTAAAACGTAAAAATATATTGGTCTACTTGAATGATCACGGCAACTTGCCACATAGTTTGCTTAATAACCAAAATTGGATTCGTGTCTTAAATATTGTTCTTCAGGAAGGGTTCTTTGCTCTGAAAATTCTGAATGGCATCTAAATCAGTTCAGTCCAACCATGTATATATCGGTCAACTATAACAAATTTAGTATTTAAAGGCTTTGTTTTCTAAATCTTTGTTTCCTCACTCGTTTTCCGTCATTCAAAGAAATAGAACCGCAACATGCCCGTTTTCAAACTTTTCAAGAGGCGCTTCTGGCCGAAATTTTTACATCATCTTGAAATCATTTGTTGATTATCATCATACTTTTATATATCGAATATGTGTGAAATAACTAGTATTGTCCTTTTTGGACTAACTGGTGAGGGAAAGTCCACTATTTCTAACATGCTGATTCAAGGCGATATTCATGATGAAGCAATACGTTCGACTGCAGTTGGTGTTAGTTTAAATGTACAATGCAGCGTGAATGATAGATTTATAGTTTACGATACGATTGGAATAGGTGAACCAAGTGATGGAACTGTTCCACATATAAAGGCTGTCAGAGAGATAAGAAATTATTTTAGTCGCCACTCAACTATATTACTTACGTTAAAAGAAAGATAGAATTACCGATAATGATCATAAAATGTTCAAAACACTTAAAAGATCTTTGAGGGAGGTGAAAAAAAAATTATTATCATTATCACTGATGGTAAACAGGCAAGGCATGGTGGGTCAAAAAAGAACTCGGATACATTGAAGAATTTTGGAGATTATCCGATTATTCCGGTCGATTTTCCTTGGAGTGAAGATGATGATGATGAAGATGATGCTGTCAATAAACGAAATAAAAGAAAAAAAAGTCTTCAATATTTAACTGATTAGCTTTCGAATTTAAAATATGAGGGGATTGTACTTGAAGTTCTTAACGCGGACCAGAAGACCGCGAATAAAGTAGCTCAAGTCATTGAGATCATACCGGTAGTTGGATCTGATTTCTGCTGGTGTTTACTATTTGGGAAAGTCAAATTTAGCAAAAGAACGACTTAAAAGTGGAACCGTTGGGGTTGTTATGGATGTTTACTTGCGTTAATACTCTTCGTGAAGGTGCAATTGTGGGTAAAGCTGCGTATAAAGGAATAAAGGCGGCGGCAGTTTATACACTTAATAAATCAGAAAATAATGGAACGGGCTCCTAATAAAATATCTTTTTAAACCACTATTATGTTAATAAAATATAAATAAAAGCTAAATTTTCCAACATAAAAATTTATTGTAAATTGTCAAAAATAAAAAAAAAAAATGAAATGTTAAATCCACTTATTTTTTAGCATTGAAAATTTTTATTTGCAAATTATCGAATTTTTCAAAAATCAAAATATTGGGATTTGTGACATAATAAATTTGGAACCATACTCTTTTATTTTCGTATGAAAAGTGAAGCTAACTACACATTTTATAATACATCATTTGATACAAGCTAAAAAAAAAAGCCAAGCCCGGCGATTTTAATATATAGTTATATATTGTAGGTATAAAAAAATAATAATAATTTTTCATCATTACTATTGTCTCTTATTGAACAATTCTTAAGTTACAATATTAGAAATAAAATTTTACATTTCCTTCATTGATACCACTCATAACTAAAAGAATTTGTTGTGTTTAACTTCAGCCTAACAAAATTGTTTTACAAATACCTTTGTTTTTCTGTAGCTTGCCGCTATTAATGCTTTATAAATTTTATATTTTATTGAAATTTTTAACATAAGGCCATGCAACTTCGATTTTTCGGTTCACGTAACATTGAAATTTAAAATCGACCCGGAGACTCGGAGTTTATTAATGAATATTTTTATTAATATTATGCCATCTGATTGGTCAATGTTTAAGGGGACCAGGCCGTGCAAAGTCTGTGACCCGGCCAGTTTTTGTTTAAAAGAAAGCGGCGGCAAAATAACAATACATGAAAAAGAAAACAAAAAAACCGGGTGATCATGTCAATTTTAAAATTTTATCTAAAAATTTTCTTTGCCCGACTTAATCATACGACAATCGCATTTCATTTCAAAATCTCCGTCAAAATGCCTATTATACATGTAAAAATCTAAAGTTTTGAAGATTTACCTGTTGAGAAAGAAACTTAAAAAATTTTTTGGAATATATCGATTCTATATTTGATCAAAAAATTAGTTGTAGAAAATCAATGTATTGCTTGGGAAGCTGCATGAAACTAATGAGTTGTAAAGAAAAGGAATTATACATAACGATGATACAATAAAACTTTAATATACCAATCAAATTAAACTTTGTAGTCACATGATAACCTTTTATATATAAACTTATTTTTGTTAAAATTTGAAAAAGTGACCGGCCGGGTGACGTGAACCGAAAAATCGAAGTTGCATGGCCTAATAGTAGAAGAGAGAGGATTTAGGTGTTTTTTATTTTCTTTTTTTAGGATTTTCAATCGTAACACTGAAAAAATTTTACAAGTTTCTTAGATAAATGTACCAAAATTGAACATAATTTCAGTAACGTGATTTTGGTCGGGAGGAGATAAATCTGGAGGTGAAGAATTTGCAATTTTCCCTAGATAAAATCCGAACCTTTTTGCGGATCATAATTACCATACCAAGAAAATTCGTATGAAATTTAGCCGTTTATGGTTAGTTCCGAGATCAGTTGAAGGATCGAAAAAAAAAATCCTCATCTGCCTTGCATTCTCGTATGGTCTTCTAGTAATCAGTTACCAAAATATTGGATGATTTTTCTTAATGATAGTAGCAAAGGGTTATATTTTATCTGTTTATTTGGTTGAAACCTAAGAAACATGGATATATCACGTGGCAGTTTTTCTTTTCTTTTCATTTCTTGTATATCTTGCCTGTATTTAATATTTCTAAGTTGTTTTTTTTAAAATTTAATATATATATATATCTCTATCTCTATCTCTCCCTCTCCCTCTCTCCCTCTCTCTCTCTCACTATTTTTTTTTATAGTAAGAGTGTGATGATGAAACAGAACTTTTTAGGTCTGACTTACCTATCTTACATATGTTGATGATTTGCTATATTTGCGAGTCGAATGTTGAATAAGGACAATCATTTTTATTTTGAAAAAAAAAATTTGGCTTATTATTTGTCAACATACTATTCTTAATTCCCCTTTAAATTTTGATATAATTTGATTACTATTCAACCAAGAAAATAATATAAACGATTAATTATTACTTAGTCACATAGAATAATTTAATTTGTTTATTGATATATGACTTGTAATCATTTAATTTACATTTCAACTTTTGTGTTTAGAAATTCAATAAAGGTATAGTATGCCAATATATAATAAAAAATAATGTTGCAAACAAAAAAATAAAAAAATTCATTTTTTTGTTGATCTTTTATCAATAAAGATTCATCATTACAAATGATTATTATAAATTTTAGATTTTTAGTGATACATTTCATTTTTCAGTTTTTTATCGTTATCCTGATGATAAATAGAATTCTTCAGATAATTAGATTTTATTTTTCATCATCTTTTCTTGTTAAAATCAAAATAATTTTCTATAAGAATTTATTACAACCTAACTGGTATTTTCACTTCTTTATATTATTAATTATATTTGTTACATCCTGTGTTGCTATTTTGTTTTTAGTTATTATGTGAATTCTCCTTTTTTATAGATTTGGTTTAATGAGAATTTTTTTATTATTTAATATTTTTTTTTGACATGTATATATATAATTTGATAATAATAAAAAAGATTTAAAAGAAAAATATAATTTAAAAAATGTTTTTATTTTATTATATAGAGTGTTAACAAAAAGTTTATACTTTTACTTAAAACTAAATATCTTTTGCTTGAATTAGTTTTTTTATAAAACAAAAAAAAACTTTCAAAAATCTAAATATTTTTTCGCTTTAAAAATATATTATAATTGTGATATTATGAACTCATTGAATATTATGTTATTAGTATCACATATTTTACATTAGTGATTGATCTATGTTAAACAATGAGTTTTAGTAAAGATAGTGAATGTTTCAAATTATTAAGCATTAGAAATAACATTTTAACATGAACCTTCAATATTCTCTCTTTATGATTTACCCATTCAAAGATTAGTCTAGGAACTGATAACTGATACCTGTGACAAAATCACTATTATCAGTACTCACTTATTAATACTAATATTATCTCTTTTCACAGAATTAATACTTCATATCTTATATTTAAATCTAAAATTGCATTTTCAATCTATTGGGTTTATATGATCTAACAAAATTCAAAAAAAAGTTAATTTTTAACTAATATAAAAAGAATCAAAAAAATTACGTGAAATAAGGCATTTATTTTATTTTATTTTAAAATAAATAAAAAAAACTTTACACACCTATTTACTATTTCTTTTGATAATTAAAGAAACATCACTTTGAGTTTTGTAATTGTTTATCTGAAAATATTTCATGAATAGATTTGTATTTAGAGCATTTTCCTTCTATAAAAACATTTCTCATTAAAAAATTACTTTGGAAGATTTCTTTGAAAACATTATAATAATTCAAACTGTAAAATAAAATCAAGTTGGGTTTCGATAGATTTCATTCATTATAAATTTTTAAAAAGTTCCTTCCAATTGTTCTAATAGAATATTAAGTTTGTAATTCCTTTTATGTATTTAAAGCAAATAAATCTATCTTTCTACTATCGCAAATATGTCAACATTGAAAAATGATTGAAGTTTAAGATAATGCTATATCGTCTATATATCAATCTATAAATATAACTAGAAAGGAATCTTTAATACGCTATCTTGTACATTTTGTCAAACTTATATAAAAGAATAATATAGCTATTATTCTAATATTCACGAAATCATATCTTATAAGAGTTTAGTTTAACGTATTATTAATTTAATATAATTTTATTGATTCCTTAACAATGAGAGAACTTGAACTTGAAGGCTAATACTACCAGCATGCAAGAAAGTTATATGATAAATTTATTTCAAAAACAGAAATATAAGCATAAATAGAAATTAAACTTATTATATAGAGTATGATAGCATTTTGCTGATAAATAGCACCTTTCTTAATTTTTTAGTATTAAAGTCTTCAATAATAAAATCATTTATTCACTATTGTTTCACATAATATGTGTGTAGTATAATTTCTTTTTAGCATTCTTTATCAGTTTGCGTCAAAAAATTCCTGACTAAATTTGAAATATTAATATTAGCATTAGTATAATTTCATTTGTTGAATATTGATAAGTTAGTTATATATTACACTCTATCACTATTACCTGTCTGAGTATTACATTTGCTCCTATTTAAATACTGCTTTCTCTTATCATCTCTTTAGTAAACTTATATATATTATGCTTTTAGATTTAGCAAAGCATTAAAACTTCTGTAATAGTTTTAAAATATAGTGTAAACTCTCTATTAATAAATAGCATTTACTCATTATTTAAGTTATTATCAACGATTTTATCAGATTCTTCTGCATTCAATACTTCATTACTAACATTTTTTTTATTATTAGTTTTTTTTGATTGAAGACTTTATATCATCAAATATTTTATTATCAGTTTCTTCTTTAAATACTTCATCATCAGTTCCTTTTATGTTTGATATTCTATTACCAGTTTCTTCTTTAATAAACATATTATCATCATCATCTATATTTGATGCTTTAGTAACAGATTCTTCATTGAAAGCCTTATTAGATTTTTTTTGTTTAATACTTTATCACCAGTTTCTTTATTTAAAACTTCATCAATATGTAATTCTTTAAATTTAGAATTTTATAATCATTTTATATTTCATAGTCTTTATCTAATACTTTATTGTTTCTATTATTACTTTTATTATATTTATTACTACATTTTATTTTAATATTTTAATCAAAATATTGTATAATTTCTTTATCAAAATATAATATTTACTATTTATTTTAGTGTTTAAAGTTGTATTAAATGTATTATATAAATTTTTAATATAATTTTTACAGTGTTTTAAGAAAGTGTAATAGTTGCGAAATATTTATGATAAAAAATTAATTGTAAAAAAATAAGAAAATATTTATTTATAATTTTTAAATATTATTTATTTTTCAAAAAAAAAAGTTTTTAATAATTACTTTTTCACATATAATTTTTTTATTATAAATGAATAATTATTATGTAATT